GATGCAATATCTATTACATTAAAGTTATTGTGTGTATATCATTTAACCAGGTAGATCTCCCTTAAATTTAGATTTTTATGGGAGACTTTAAAGTGTCCCTTAAAAAAGGAGATTTTAAGGTCAATTTTTTTTTACCTATACATATTTATTCCACTCAATTAATATGTGATTTATTTATTTTCTATTATAAGTTTTATATCGTGATATATATTGTTACCGCCACTCATCTTAATTATATCGTGATATGAATTTTTTGTCATATCGCACATTCCTAATTTTAAACACGTACAGAGAGAATAAATCCTCAAGATTTCCCCCTCCTGCTGTAGAAAAGTTACATCGGGATCACCCACCACCACCAACACCACTCTCCAGCAGCACGTCTCGCAGAGCAAAGCTTTAACAACCGTAGTTTTTTCACACCCAAGTTGTCTGAGAAAAAACTTGTTTTTTAAGTATTATTACCCACAGAGATGATAGACTTGGACGTTCGTTCAGTCATAAATCCGTCTTGTTAATGTAATGTGCTTCTGCTCTGATGATAAAGATGATGAAGCAGAGCAGCAGCTGATAAGTTCAGCAGGCAGAAGCTCATTGTATGGCAGGCAGATGTTACATTTATTTGGCTTCACCAAACTTACATTCTAGTTATCCGAAACTGTTTTATGACAGGACTATGTGCAGCTTAAGGCCCTTGAAGGTCCTGTCACACTATAACATTTTAGGCAACAATGAATTTTTTGTCTAAATGACTAATTTTACTTGAAGTACTTGTTATAACATCCACTTTATTTTAATATTGTTGAAAATTTGAGAAATGTTTTTGTTTGTTGTTGAAACCGTTTTGCATTATATATTAGGGCTGCAACGATACAGAAAATTCACGATTCGGTTCGATACTTTAGTCTCACGGTTCGATATTTTTTCGATACAAAAAAACAGAAATATCCATGCCCATTTTAACTTGTAATTCATTGAAATTATTTATGAACATTTGTTGAACCTCAAAAGTATCGTTTTTAAATTAAATTTAAACTTAAATTTTGCTGAAACAGCAAGTTTCTCAGTAAAACATTTTGTACTTCTGTATTTGTACTACAGCAAACATGCTGGGTTTGATTAAGATTACAGTTTTCTGCTAAATAAATGCTCTAAATATTACATTATCTTTGCTTTTTATGATCATTTCCTACCATGATATGTACCATTACTGTGAAGGGATTCAATTTATACAGTGATATGAATTTGAGATCATACCGCCCAGCCCTAGTTCACTCTGATGTTTAAAGTGTATTCTACCTAAATATCTTACAAATACATTAAAAACTGAACTTTTATGTTTATTTGTTCAACAGTGTTTTGCAGATATTATTATACCAGAGCAGAAAAACCTGGAGTCCTCGGTGAGACTTCAGCTTTCAATAACATCATTCTGCAGGTAAAATCCTCCTGAAACCAGAATCGATCTGAGCAGCTCTGAAATCTACAACTGGTCCAATCTCACCTGGAATCAGGTGTTTAATAAAGGAGGAGTCCAGGGGCCACCTGGGGCCCGGGCACTGAGATAAAACCCATTAATCCCCACTCGCCGTCTGCGTGGCATTCTTCATCAGAGCCTCGGTCTGAGCACGAGCTGAGGTGACAGAACCGATCCGGAGTCCCTCGAGCCGAGCTGAAAACCACCTGTAACCGGTTAATAACGTCGCCACGGTTAGGACGACAATCAGAGGCGGAATCTGGGAAAAACCTCGGAGGGAAGCGAGAGACGACGTGTTTGATGGACGAGCTGAGAGCAGAAACACCTGCAGAGGACTCACCTGAGACCTGATCTGTCTCTGAATAAAGACCTTTGTTCTGATTTTATTTATTAAAACGCTGAAACTAAGAAATCAAACCGTTTTTGGAAAAAATAAGGAAGTGATGGCAGCAAATCATCTGCAAAATATTCTAAAACATCTGAGGCAGCTGGAGGAGAACTTTATAACTGAGGGTAGTGCTGGGCGGTATACCGTTTTGTACCAAATACCGGTTTTTATTTTTGTTATGAAATGAATTTTTTGAATACCAGACATTCAGGTTTAAATAGCGGAATGTTTCGTCGCGGCCGCCAGTGAACCGTTGTTTCCCGGGGGACATTATTCCTTGCTGCACCGCTATGTGCATTAGCATGCTAATGTTTGGAGCAGCTAGTTGCAGCCGCGGGTGGCGATTCCGCTGCTTATATTGGCTGACGTTTAAAAAAACATCCCGTTTTCGTCATCGCTGAATGTAGTAAACACCTCTTCAGTGACGTGCACAGTTAGATTTAACGCGGTTAGTTAATATGGAGACGTTCTATTTCGTGTAAGCTCCGCCCTCTAAGGCTATCGCAGATGGGTACCCCCGCGCGCGCGCGCATTCTGAAGAGCCAATAGTCTACGCCCACGTCACGTGGGCCCCACCTAGGTCCGTATAAAAGGGGAGGACGGACCTGTGCTCGGCTCCCCTTTTTTCTTCAGCTTCGGCATTCTGCATGTACCATAGAAGACGCCCATACATGTAAGTGCTATGATTCTTTTATATTGACACCCTCGTGCCTCCACGGAGTCCCCGGGTTTTTTCATAGCCGCTACTAGCTCACTCCTTACACGGATGTGTAGCTGGTAGTTAAG